AGTGTATCACATTTATTGATTTGCGTATGTTGAACCAAACTTGCAACCCTGGGATAAATCCCACTTGATCATGGTGTATAATTTTATGTATGTGTTGCTGTTTTCTGTTAGCTAGTATTTTATTGAGGATTTTTGCATCTGTATTCATCGAGGATATTGGCCTGTACTTTTCTTTTTTAGTTGTATCTTTATCTGGTTTTGGTATCAGGGTGATGTTTGCTTCGTAGAATGAGTTTGGGAGAATTGTCTCTCTTTCAATCTTTTATAAAAGTCTGTAGAGAATTGGTGTCAATTCCTTTTTGAATGCTTGGTAGAATTCTACTGTTAATTCATCTGGTCCTGGGTTTTTCTTTGTTGGGAGCCTTCTGATAACAGTTTCAATCTCTTTTATTGTTATTGGTCTGCTCAGATTTTCTACATCTTCTTGAGTCAGTTTTGGTAGTTTGTGTGTGTCCAGAAATTTATCCATTACCTCCAGATTTTCAAATTTGTTGGCATATAATTGTTTACAGTAGTCTCTAATGATGCTTTGTATTTCTGAGGTATCAGTTGTAATATCAACTTTTTCATTTCTAATTTTTGTTATTTGGGTCTTCTCTCTTGTTTTTAGTTAGCTGTGCTAATGGTTTGTCAATTTTATTTATCTTTTCAAAAAAACAACTTTTTGATTCATTGATCTTTTGTATCGTTTTTTTTGGATTTCAATTTCATTAAGTTCTGCTCTGATCTTAATGATTTCTTTCCATCTGCTAACTTTGGTTTTGGATTGTTCTTGTTTTTCTAGTTCTTTAAAGTGAAGCGTTAGGTTGTTTACTTGCCATCTTTCCATTCTTCTGAGGTGTGCATTTAATGTGATAAATTTCCCCCTTAGTACCGCTTTTATACTATCCCACAGGTTTTGGTATGATGTATCATTGTTTTCAATAGTTTTTTTAATTTCCTGTTTGATTTCTTCTTGGACCCATATGTCATGAAGTAGAATGCTGTTTAATTTCCATGTGTTTGTATAGTTTCCAGAATTTCTTTTGTTATTGATTTCTAATTTTAACCAATTTTGGTCTGAAAAAATACATGGGATGATTCCAGTTTTTTTGAATTTGTTGAGACTTGATTTGTGACCTAACATGTGATCTATTCCAGAGAATGATCCATGTGCTGATGAGAAGAATGAAAATTCTGAGGTTGTTGGATGGAATGGTCTGTAGATATCTGCCAAGTCCAATTGGTCCAGAGTGTTGTTTAGATCTTGTGTTTCTCTGCTGATTCTTTGCCTAGATGATCTGTCCAATATTGACAATGGGGTGTTCAGGTCCCCTGCTATTATGGTATTAGTGTCTATTTCCTTTTTTAGGTCTAATAGAGTTTGATTTATCAACCTGGCTTCTCTGATATTGGGTGTATATATATTTATGATTGTTATGTCTTCTTGATGGATGAATCTTTATATCATTATGTAGTGGCTCTCATTATCTCTTTTTATGGTTTTTAGTTTAAAGTCTATTTTATCAGATAAAAGAATAGCTACTCCAGCTTGTTTTTCATTTCTGTTTACATGGTAAATCTTTTTCAATCCTTTCATTCTTAGTCTATGTGAGTCTTTATAGGTGAAGTGGGTCTCTTGAAGGCAGCATATAGTTGGGTCCTCCTTTTTAATCTAGTCAGCGAGTCTGTGTCTTTTGATTAGGGATTTTAATCCTATTACATTAAGAGTTGTTAATGAAAAGTGTTGATTTGCTCCTAGCATTTTATTGGTTTTTGTTTGGATGTCTTGAATCTTTTGTTCCTTTCTTTCAGATTTACAGTTTGTCTTCTGTATTTGTTGGTTGCTTGGGCTGTAGATAAATTTTTTTTCTTTTTTCTCTTCATTCTTGGCATTTTTATTTTACTAGTGGGTTTTGATTTTTCTTGAGTTTTTATGGCAGTGGTAGTTATTTTTCTGGTACCAAACCCTTGAGGATTTCTTATAAGTGTGGTCATGTGGTAGTGTAGTCCTGCAATTTTTGTTTGACTGAGAAATATCCTGTTTGCTCTCCATTTCAGAAGGATAGCCCTGTGGGGTAGAGTATTCGTGGCTCGCAAGTATTGTCTTTTATTATTTTGAATATATCATCCCATTCTTTTCTGGGTTTGTGATGAAAAGTCTGATGTTAGTCTGCTTTAAGGGTTTGTGATGAAAAGTCTGATGTTAGTCTGATTGGGGCTCCCTTATAGGTGATTTGACGCTTCTCTTTTGCAGCTTTTAAGATTCTCTCTTTTTCTTTGTTTTGCCAATTTGACTATAACATGTCTTGGAGAAGACATTTTTGGGTTGAATACGTTTGAGGATCTTTGAGCTTCCTGAATCTGAAGATCTGTTTCTTTTCCTACACCTGGGAAGTTTACTGCCACTATTTTTTTTTTCCTTTTTTTGTCTTTTTTCGTGACCGCAATGGATCACAACCCTCAGTGTTGTGCCCGTACCGGACCGGGACCGGCAATGGGATCGCAACCCTCGGTGTTGGGATCACAACCCTCGGTGTTGCGCCCGCACCTCGCTCAGCCAGTGAGCGGGAACCGGTCTGTATGTGGAATCCGAACCCTCGGCGGGAGTGCCACCGCGCTCCCAAGCGGCGCACTGTAGCAGTGCGCCACCGGGCCGGCCCATTACTGCCACTATTTTGTTAAATATGTTTTGAATGCAATCTCCTTTTTCCTCTCCTTCTGGAATACCCATGACTTAGATATTTGAGCACTTAAGGTTGTCTTATATCTCTCTTAGATTTTCTTCAATGTTTTAAATTCTTTTTTCTTTTTCTTTTTTTTGTCTGCCTGTGTTATTTCAAACAGCCCCTGTTTAAGGTCAGAAGTTCTCTCTTCTGCTTCTGCAAGCCTGCTGGTTAAACTCTCTGTTGTGTTTTTATTTAGTTGGATGAATTCTTTAGCTCAGCAAGCTCTGCTACATTCTTTTTCAGGGAATTGAATTCCTTGTACATTTCTTCTTTCAGGTCCTTTATACTTTTCCTTGTTTCATCATGTTGTCTAGCTGGGTTTTCTTGTATCTCATTTATTTTCCTTAGAATTATCGCTCGAAATTCCTTGTCAGACATTTCAAGGGCTTCTTGTTCTACAGGATCTAGAGCTTGAGAGTTATTACCCTTTGGTGGTGTACTTTCTTGATTTTTCATATTTCTGGTACCTTTCCTTTGATGATTAGTCATTGTGGCAGGGGACTTCATGGTCCACTGGTTTGACAGTATTGTCTGGCGAGGATGCTGCTGGGACTGCAAGTTTGGCACGGCTCCCTCAGTGTCTGCTTGGTTGCCCACTGGTGCCTTGGGTGCGTGGTCGCCTTGGGTCTTGGGCCTCTCCGGGTAGGCGCCTCTCTGGTCAGCACACACTAGGCTGGGGTGGGGATGATGTTGGGCAGTGATGGTGAGGCCTACCTGCTGGGTTGCGCGCTGGCATCGCAGGTAGCGTGGTCTCCACAGATCTTGGGCCTCTCTGGCTGGGTGCCTCTCTGATTGGTGCACAGTTGGCCAGGCTCAGGACGGAGTCAGGCGGCAACAATGAGGCCTACCTCCTGGGTCTCACACTGGCACCTGTTTTGTATGTTTTTATGTAATATATTAAAGTGTCCTTGACCCCACTGGACAAAATGTAGTAGACAGACCTGTCTGTCTGTCTGTCTCTCTCTCTTTCTCACTCTCTCTCTCTCGCTCTCTCTCTCTCTCTCTCTCTCTCTCTCTCTCTCACACACACACACACACACACACACACACACTACTGTACTCTTTATCCCAGGACCAAATGGTAATAAGCACAGAATGTGTCCACCTTATACTGACCATAAAGCTTCCTGAATTTCCTGTCTTATGTGAAGCTTTATTTTGTTACTTCAAAATATGATGTATTCTCCTTGCCATAGTTGCCTCGGGGTGAGAGTATAAAGTTGACAACGTTCTATAAAATAGATGAAGCCATAAAATCTTCGGGAAGCATTATGAGGTCGTTATAAAAAAATGAATGTTTATGGGAAAAAAGCCTTTTAATAATTTTAAACCTAAGGCCATTAGTATTTTTCTTACTACTAGGGAAAACCCACTTTTCCCCAGCATTTTCTTGTGGAAATTTTCAAACACAGAGAAGAAAACTTGAAACAATTCTACAGTGAACATCCAAGTACCCACCACACGTAGATTCTACAATCAACATCTTGTTCCACATCTTTCCATTTATCTGTCCATCCATCAACTCATTTTTGTGTGTGTACTCAAGATAAATTGCAGACGTCAGTAGTCTTTCCCACTTCAGCACCCATATTATTACCTAGAGAAGACATCTCAATTTTAAAAGCCAGCTATTCTCTCAGTTTGGAGAGGTTAAGGCTTAGTCTCTAGGGCAGGCTTGGACTTCCATAAATAAGACATACTTGGCAGGTCTCTAGGCGTGATTGACATTAACCCTGCCCTGTAAAGGCTTAGGAGAACAGAAAGTCAGGTAATATGTTGTGGTATTCCAGTGAAATGCTATATGGCAAGCGGCCCTGTACTGGGGAATCTTCCACCTATAGCTTCTGCTTTAACTGGAGTGGTTTGGATGTGGAACACATAGGTATACTGTATTATCATCATCTTTCACAGCAACGTGTCTGCTTTCTAATTGAGGGAACGGGTGTGGGGGAGGTGGTGTCAGCTAATATGTGTCATGAAGGAATATTGAACATTTCTCTGTGGCTCTGAGCCTGAAACACTCTCCATTCTCTAGTAGGTTTCCTCATCTCAATGGCCTTTGGTGTCAGCTCTCTATTTGTTTCTCACTCAATTTCTATTTGCCTGCTGGAGGGTCTCAAGAGGACTCCATGCTCAGAAGTGGTCCTTGTAATGGATGATTTATAGGCTTGACAAACAGTCAAGAGTAGCCATGACAAGGCTTTGAGAATCAGGCTAAGTCTAAGCAGAGTGACTGAGAAAGGCAAAATCCTATCTGTCTCTAATTATTATGACTTTCTGATTTATTTCCAGGTGTTTTGAAGTCTTCTATATCTACTTCCATTCAGACCAGAGTGAAGAGCCTTATGTCAGCATCACCAGGAAGCGGCAGATACCCAAAAATGGCCTCTCAGAGGAGATTGAGAAGGAGGTGGGCCAGGCAGAAGGCAAGCTGTTCACCCACCGATCTGCGTTCAGCCGGGCATCAGTGATCCAGGCTTTCCTGGGCTCAGCCCCACAACTGACCCTGCAGCTGTATATATGCGTCTTGGAGCAGGACGTCAGTGTTGGAAGAAGTATGTATATTTTTGATTTCTGCCTACATAGATCAAAATGGGAAGCAAGACATACAGTTTATTTTGTTTCACGTGAAAGTTATTGATATGTGAATTCACTCCTGAGTCTATGTTCCAGTCACTAAGCTAAAAATTTTGTGAGTTAAAATAATAATATTTATTTTGCTATGAATCCATATTTTGGGTGGCGCTCAAAAGGGACATCTCACCTGTGCTGCATTGTGGATCAGTTAGGGTGACTCAAAGATGGGGGTAGAATCCACTGAAGGCCCATTCATTCAGATGTCTTGATGCTGGCTGTTGTTGGGGGTCTCAGATATTCTCCATTTGACCTCTCTGTGTGGGCAAACTTGTCCCTGCTGTCAGCATAGTGGCTGCTTCAAAAGGCAAGTGTCCTAAGAGTGAGAGAAGGCCAGGGTGAAGCCATATCACCTATTGTGATCCAGCGTTGGGAATCATGGGACATAACTTCTGCTCCCTTCTCTGTTGAAACTGTCACAAAGTCCTGCTGAGGTTCCAGGGAAGGGGATGGGTGTAATCTCTGGCTCTTGTTGAGGAATGGCAGAGTTATGGAAGAGTATGTGGGACCAAAAGTAACATTGTGGCCATTTAAAAACTACACAGTTTCCCAGAGGCTGAACATAGAGCTGCCAGAGGCTGGTCCTCTTGGAATTTCACCTCTGTCTTTCAGTGATAGTTATAGAGTGGCTGAGACAGGTGGTTGTAAATGCTTCGTGGCGACAGATGGAATGAAGGCTGCTTTCCTGCCACCTTAAAGTTTGTTCTAATAGGTGTATCAGCTATGAAGTGAACACAATTTTCTAACCTTTGGGCTGTTCTCACATCATCCAATTAAGAGCCTGTTTTGGTTAAGTAAAGTTGCCTCAAAAACTTCTATTTTCATTGGACGTAAGTGAAAAGCCTTCAGATGAAAAGGGGAAATAACCCCTCTCAAATAGTAATATTATAGTAAAACCAGACATTCTGGCAAGTTTTACTACAGATATGCAAAATGATTTAAAAGCCTTAAGTTGAAAAAAATTCATATTTAAGAAAACACTTACATTGGAATTAAAAACACTTTTATTTATTTCACTCACCTCAATTTTGTTCTCCTTCTGCCTGTATTTTAGACTGGATGGTAAAATGTCATAATTCATGGCAGGGTGACAGGATACTTGCATATCCAGGTTATGTGACCATGATTCTTAAGATATGAGTGAGAATCTTAAGCAGAGGTCTTGAACCTTGATGTATTAACATTTGTATGTAAATGCCTCCCACAACCCCTGGTAGACAGTAGGTGCTCAATAAATACAGCAACATCAGTGTTCTTTAAGGACTTATGCCTGGAATGGGTTTTGACCAAGATGGGTCCCCTGCATGCTGCTATACCCTTTTCCCAGTTTATTGTTTTTCCAGGTGGCAGGGACACAGCAAAAAACTAGATGTCATGATACCAGTTTAATATTTTCAGGCAGGTCCAATTTTTCTCCTCAAGTTTTTGATAGTGAAGACTGTCTTATAGGTGAGGGGTTGGCAAACTGCAGCCCAAGGGCCTAATCCAGCCACTGCCTGTTTCATAACATTTTTTTTTATTGGACACAGCCATGCTTTTTCATTTATGTATTGTCCGTGGCTATTTGGGGGCTGCAAAACAGAGTTGAGTAATTGTAACAGAGACCATGTGGCACAAAAGCCTAAAATATTTACTGTCTAGCTCCTTATAGAGCAAGTTTGCTAACCTTTGTTATAGTTTTTCAGACAGAATTCTCTTCAGGAAAATAAAACCTACCCCATAAATTGTCAGCATCACAAGGGATATCTATGAGATGTCACTCAAGAACTTGGAAAAAATATAAGTCTTCTGAGAGTGAAGTGATAAATCAAAGGGAAGTAGACATGGTCCTGTTGAAAAGACAGATGGCTGCCATTTATGTAGGTCTTGACTAACCCCAATCACTGCCTTGACATATCTGAAGAAGGAATCCCTCACCCAGAAGGGGCAAAGCCCCTATAAATGGAGCATGGGGTAGGGTGTGTCACAGAGGCAAATGTTGGTAGTGTCTATTACATGCTCAGGAATGCATTTGGTCCAAGGGACAAACACCTGACCATAGGATTAGACATCCTGGGGTTTATTTTGCTCGTTTAACAAGAAATTGGAGGTTGGTGGCATTATTTAAGGTGCTCAACAGTGGCAAAGTTGATGTCCACACCTATCCACTGGCCTTTCACTCGTGTTGTTACTTCAGCTCCAATCATCGTAGCTGCATTGAAGACAAAAAGAAGCACCGAAGAGGGAAGGATGGATCTCTTTCCCCTTTAATTGCTAAGTATAGTTTTCCCAGAAATCTCCCTAATAGACTTTAGGTCTCATTGACCAGAACTGATCACATGGTCACCTAGCTGCACGGGATATTAGGAAAGCCAGGCACAGGAGTGATTGCCAGCAATGGCTTAGACCAGTATTCCTCATACTTCCCTGATGACGACTAGAGTTATCAGGGGGTTTGCTCATTATACCTATCAGCAAGACACATCTCAGGAAATTGTGATTTGCTGGGTTTGGGATGGAAACCAAGGGTATATATTTTTATTTCTCTATTGTTTTTTAAGCAAGAATTTTAGGTGATTTTATTACCAGCAAAGTTTGGGAACATTGGATCAGATTACTCATGACCTGCCTGGGGTTTGGCCTGTTGCCACCCAGAACAAAGCCCTGTTTTATTAAAAGACAGTGGGAGGAATCAGTATTGAATAGGCAGCTAACAGTATCTGCCACACCATCTAAGTGCAGACCCGACCAGTAGAAATGTCTATACTCTTGACAGGAGAAGCATAGAGAGTCCCTCAGAACCTGACCCCATTCAGCATTCAAATGTTATAACCCTCATCTCACTCTCTGATTCCGTGCTCATTGAGCAAACCTTGATGAATTTGGCCTCAGCAGAGTTGGGCATGAGGAATAGAAGGTAGACATGGCTACATGGTCACTGGAGAGTTGGTTTTTTTTAAATTTTAATATAATTCATATCACATAAATATCACCATTTTAAGTGTACAATTCAGTAGGTTTTTGTATATTCACAATGTTGTGCAATCATTACCATCATCTAAATTTAGAACATTTTTATTATGCAGAAAAGAAATTCCCTACCCATTAGTAGTCTCTCCTCGTTTCCCCCGTCCTCTCAGCCCCTGGAAACCACTAATCTACTTTCTGTCTCTATAAATTTGCCTATTGTGTGTATTTCGTAAAAACTTTGGGAAGTTTTCTTTCTTACAGTCAGTGAATAATGGACACTGTGTCTATGAGTTTCAGTCTTGGGTGGGTTTAGCCATCCTGAGACTCCCTGAATCTACTCAGTTCTCAGTAGGGGCTTGATCAAGTCTCTTGACCTTGGAGGATGGGTCATGCCAAACTTCAGGTGAGTACCCCAAGGTTCTACTGTTCTGTGAAGGCCCCTGCAGCCTGCCATTTGGCCTTCCTGGACCTCACAGTGCCATTCTCTCATCCAGTCAAGGTGGTAACGTTGGTAGTAATAACGACAATATTATGAACCCTTGCTTGGTGCCAGGCACTGTGAGGGGCAGTGTTGCGTTTCATTTCGGGTGCATTTCTGTGAGGTAGATGATACCATCTCCATGCTACTAAAGAGGAAACTGTGCTCACAGTCCACCAGTGGAGCCAGGCTTTGAGGTTAGATTTGTAAGGCTTCATTCACAGGCTCGATGAGTATTTATGATGTTCTGCGTTTCAAACCCTGTGCTATTCTCTGTGGATAAAGCTGGGAATGAGGTGAGCAGGCCCCTATCATCTTGGAATAGGATAGAGAAATATGAGACAGATGATTAATCACATATTTATTCTATTTCATGTAAATCCTGCAAAGTGAAAGTTAAAGAGCCTGTATGAGGGTATATGGGGGGATCTAACCAAGTCTGGGAGATGAAGCAAAGACGTCCAGAATTTAGGATTAAACTGAAAACTGATAGATAAGAAGGCAGGTGAAGGAAAAGCAGGAAAGAGCATCTAAGAATTTCAGCCTTTATCCCAGAAGCCACAGGAAGGCACTGATGAGTTTTAAGCAACACAGTGTCACTCCACACATGGTTATTAACAATGGGAAATAACTTATCAGCTGTAAGTGAACCAAAACCAAAACAGGAACACTAAATTAGTAAAGAGGAAAACAAAAATTATTAAAACATAACCAAGTACCATTGGTGCATTGGACTGTCATAGGAGAGCCAGTAAAAGGCATGTTTGGACTATGCATGTCTATCAGTGACCTACAACTTACAAAGGGATATCAAAGAGCTCAAAGAAAATGTGAGCCTAGAATCAGATAGAAAACCTGGAGTTGTGTTCTGTAGAAAAGGACAAGTTTTCCATTCAAACACAAACTTTTTGCTAGAATGTTAAAGCAAGGTAGAAAGTTAGAATTTCCTCAACAATAGGGCCCGGTCACTAGGCGACCAGGTTGCTATCATGAGCATTTCTAGGCTGAGGACTGATGAGTGGGCAGCCATGACATCACAAAGTCTAGGATGTCACAAAGGCAGCCCCCTGACACATGAGGGCCTGCAGCCTGGGCCTACAGTGGGCCATAATAAGCACTGGTAACTTGACAGCCCCAGGCCAGTGGGAAAATCAAGCTGTGCCAACAGAAGCAAAATCTAGCAACCGTCATGGCTGGGAGAAAAGTCAGCAGGAAATCCCAAGGGCGTAGGAGGCGGACCCTCTCCCGCTCCTCAAGAGCAGAGTTGCAGTTCCCCGTTAGCCGTGTGGATCGCCTCCTGCGAGAGGGAGGCTACTCCCAGCGCCTGAGCTCGTCCGCACCAGTTTTCATGGCAGCAGTTCTCGAGTACCTGACAGCCAACGTCCTGGAGCTGGCGGGCAAGGAGGCCGACAACTGCCGCAGGAAGCGCATCAGCCCAGAGCACGTGCAGAGGGCATTGGACAGCAACCAGCAGCTGCAGAGCCTCTTCCAACA